AAAGTAAAACTTAGGACTTGTTTGTTTCTGGAATTTTCCATTTAATATTTTCAGATTGCGGTTGACTGCAGGTAACTGGAACTACAGAAAGTGAAACCACAGATAAGGAGAATTATTATATACCCTGCCCAAACACAATAATTTCATCCTTTATCAACATCCCCTACCAGAGTAGTATATTTGTTACAGTTGATGAGTCTACGTTGACACATCATTATCACAATTCAGTATTTAACTTAGGATTCACTCTTGGCGTTGTACATTCTATGGGTTTGGACAAATGTATAATGACATGTATCTACCATTGTAGTATCATAGAGCAATTTCACTGCCCTTGAAACCCTATGTACTTTGGTTAGTCAATCCTCCCTTTCCCCCACTCCTAGAAACTATTGATCTTTTTACTGTCTCCATTGCTTTACTTTTTCCAGACTGTCATATAATTGGAGTCATTTAGTATGTATGTAGCCTTTTCATATTGGCTTCTTTCACTTGGTAATATGCATTTAAGTTTACTGCATGTCTTTTTATGGCTTGATACCGCATTTCTTTTTAGCACTGAATAATATTTTCTTTATGTACCACCATTTATTTATCCATTCACCTACAAAGGGATATTTTGGCTGCTTCCATGTGTTGGCACTTATGAATAAAGCTGTTGTAAACATCCATATGCAGGTTTTGTGTGGAAATAAGTTTTCAATTCATTTGGGTAAATACCAAGGAGGGCAATTGGTGGATTATATGGCAAGAGCATGTTTTAGTTTTGTAAGAAACCATCAAAGTGTCTTCCAAAGTGATTGTCCTATTTTGCATTCCCACCAGCCATGAATGAGAGTCCCTGTTGCCCCACCTCCTCTCCAGCATTTGGTATTCTCAGTGTTCTGGGATTTGCCCATTCTAATAAGTGGTATGTCAGTTTAATATGCAGTTCCTTAATGACATAAGATTTTGAACATATTTTCATATGCTTACCATCTGTATATCTTCTCTGGTAAGGTAACTGTTAAGGTCTTTCATCCATTTTCTTTTTTAAACAGGTGGTTCATTTTCTTAATGTTGAATTTTAAGAGTTCTTTGTTTATTTTTAATAACAATCCTTTATCAGATGTGTCTTTTACAAATATTTTCTTCCACTGTGTGGCTGGTCTTCTCATTCTCTTGACATTGCCTTTCCCAGAGCAGAAGATTTTTATTTCAGTAACATCCAGTTATCAGTTCTTTCTTTCATGGATTATGCCTTTGATATCATATCTAAAAAGCCATTGCTATATCCAAGGTCATCTAGATTTTTCTTTTGCATTATCGTCTAGGTGTCATATAGTTTTGCATTTTACATTTAGGTTTATAATCCATTACGAGTTAATTTTTGCGAAGTATGTAAGGTGTGTCTAGATTCATTCTTTTTACATGTAGGTATCTAGTTGTTCTACCACCATTTGTTAAAAAGACTCTTTTCTCTGTTGTATTGCCATTACTGCTTTGTTAAAGATCAGTTGACTGTATTTATGTCGGTCTATTTCTGGGCTTTTATTCTGTTCCATTGGTTTATTCTTTCACCTGTGCCACACTGTCTTGATTATCATAGCTTTATAATAATTCTTGAAGATGGATAGTGTCAATTCTTAGACTTTGTTCTTTATTATTGAATCGGCTGTCCTGGATCTTTTACCTTTCCATATAAACTTAAGAATCAGTTTGTGATATCCACAAAATAACTTGCTGGGATTTTTCTTGTGATTACATTGAACCTAGAATTCAAGTTGGGAAGAACTAACATCTTGATAATATTGAGTCTTCGTATCCATGAACGTGGAATATCTCCATATTTATTTTGTTCTTTGATTTCTTTCATTAGAATTTTATAGTTCTTGCATAGATTTTGAATGTATTTTGTTAGATCTATACCTGAGTATTTCATTTTTTTGGTGTTAATGTAAATGGTAATATATTTTTAATTTCAAATTTCACTTGTTCATTGTCGGTATATAGGAAAGTGATTGCTTTTTGTATATTTTCCTTATATCTTGCAACCTTACCATAATTGTTTATTAGTTCCACAAGTTTTTTTTTATCGTTTTGGATTTTCTACATAGCCAATCATGTCATCTGCCAGCAAAGACAGTTTTATTTTTTTCCTTCCCAATCTGTATACTTTTTATTTCCCTTTATTGTCTCGTTGCATTAGCTAGGTCTCCTTTTTCAGTCAGCCTTCTTACTTTATATATCCACTTGCTTTTCCTGTTTATTCTTCACTTCTGGATAACATTCTCCTTGTTTATTCTAGATAACATTCTTCTTTTTAAATCAGACAAATGAGAGTTGAGAGAGGTATGTTTCACAAAACAGCACACTTAATTAAACTAATTGCATGTAAAAGAATTGAGTACTTAAATGCTTATAGACTTCCGGGTGAAGTTAATTTTGACCCAGATTTTGAAAACTTTATTGGATGATAAAAAGGATTAGAAAGGAGAAAGGTTATAGACAAAATCTGGCATATAGTCAGAATATATTTGTATAACACTGTAGTAATTACATGAGCTTTATGGGAGTGAAAAGTCATCGTGGAAAGAATGTGAAAGTGGAGATCATGAGAAGAGGCAATTTAATAAAATGAAACTTAAGTGCTATATTTATAGCCCCTCAGGTTGTGTGGAACTTTATACTTTATAAAACCATTTTCATGTAACCTTTTGAGATAGATGGAGGTATTTTTATTTTACAAATGAAAAAAAATTAACACTTAGATAAAGAAATGTACCAATTCCTTATAACAGTATGTGACTCGGGACTAAAACTCATCTATATTTCCAAGGTTCCTGTTCTTCACTGATAACTGTTACACCTCTGTTGCTTTACCATAGTACCCTACAGTAGTAACTCTCACAGTTTGTGTTTTTATGTGCACTGTCTGATTTGATTCTCAAAAACCTTGTGAGTTATGTAGTTTAGGTATTATTATGATCTCATTTTACAGATAAGGAAAATGAAGATGAGAGAAGGTAAAGTTAACCAGATGTAAAGTAACTAGGACTGCTTTTTAATCTCATCACTTATTTCGTGTATCTACTTGCCTTTGTTCATTTTTCACTTTTCAGTCTAGATATTAACTCTTTCTATTAAACTCAGGCTAAAAGAAGTTAAATAGATTTAAAAGGTCAAGACTATAATAAGTAAAAGAACAGATCCGGATCTAAACTTATGCCTCTGCTTTCTGTCTTACCAATTTTCTGTTCTGGAAGTTTCTTGAGATTTGTTCATACCGTGATTGAGAATTTTTCTGATGTGTGTAGGATTATTTGCAAAGATCAGAAATGGAGTTTGGTGATATCAGCTGTAAGGTGGTCATATTAACACAATTTGTTAACAGACTTAAAATTTAATTGAAAAGTGAAATGATGAAGTTCTAGATGAAAATAAAAGTTTCAGTATTCAAATATTTCCACTTAAAAATGCACAGGAATGAAGTGCTTTACTCTCTGTCCTACCAATATTTGTATTATTTAATAATGTTTAGAATGTTTTAATTTAAGGATAATACATTAAAAATAGGAACCAAATCTACTTTTTTATTATCCCCATAACTTGTATTTGAGGTGTGAATGAAACAGGAAGGAAACAGTTCATATTGCATAGATGTCTTATGTTCCTTTTATCTACTCTAAGCAGCTGCTGTGATCTAGTTTGAGGTATCAGTGTGTACATTTCTTATGGCTGATGTAACAAATTACCACAAACTCATTTGTTTTTAAAATCTCTCACAGTTCTGAAGGCCAAAAGTCTGAAATTAGTTATCATTGGGCTGAAATTGAGGCATTGGAAGGGCTGTGCACACTCTGGAGGCTCTAGGGGAGAATCTGTTCTTTGCATTTTCCAGCTTCAGATGGCTACCAGTATTACTTGGTTTGTGGCTGCATCACTATTCTCTTATCTGTGTGGCCACATTACCATCTTCTCTTCAGTCTGTGCCATGTCTCCTTCTTCCCTCTTCTTATAAGGTACGTCTCATTGTATTTAGGGCCCACCCAGATATTCCAGGTTAATCTGCCCATATTAGAATCTTTAATCATCATATAAGCAGTCTTTTTTTTTTTTTTTTGCCATCTAAAGTAACATTCAAAGGTTCTAGAGATTAGGACGTGATGTCTTTTGGATAAGCCATTATTCAGCCTACAACTGTCCTTATTGCCTTTGACTTCTTTTTTTTTTTTCCTCATTTCTCCTATTTTTACTCTTTTTCATCTTCCGGAAGCACATAGTGGCAAGTTGATTGAGTGGGTATTTTAAAGTTTTGATCAAGAGTTGAGTAGTTAGTGGTCTATATCTGTGAGTGAATCTGTTGCCCTCATTTAAGAACATCAGATTGTATTCTTATTAATTTTTCATTGTCATTGAATTAGTTGACAATAATGGTACCTTTGTTAAGTTTAACACCATTTATCAAGATAATTATTGAATTATTGAATACTTGAATACTTTGGGTAAAGTAGGTAAGTTAACATGGCATTTCTTTCCCATGAAAGCATCTGTTGATTAGATTGGCAAGCATTGTTGTTGTTATTATTATTGAGAAAATAGTCAAAAAGCTGGTAGCATTGTTTCAAAGCCAATTTTCCTTTAAGGACAGGGAAATTTTTTTTCAAATTTGCATTTGTTTCAGTGAATTCGTTTCACTGAATTGTTTCAGTGATAGCTCAACTTGAATTTAATGAAGGTAACCAGAAGAGTTGGCAGAGTTCTGATCCAAAAGTCCATTCATTGTCAAGAGACTTGTAGTTTGGGGCATAACACATAACCTTTTTCTTAATATCTATACTAAAGGACTTGAATTATGTGATTGGTAACATCCCTTCTGACTCTAAAAGACTATTTAGTATTTAGGATAAAATATTTAAAAACCAGCAAACAACATACCCTCATTTATTTTATTCTATTAGAAAAAGGAATCATTTTGGCAAGATTATTTTGAAATAATTGTTTGTGCTTTTTTTCTGTAGATGGACCACACATCCCCGACCTACATGCTTGCTAACTTAACCCACTTACATTCTGAACAACTTCTGCAGGGCCTGAATCTTCTTCGTCAACATCACGAACTCTGTGACATCATTCTTCGAGTAGGTGATGTTAAAATCCATGCTCACAAAGTGGTACTTGCCAGCATCAGCCCATATTTCAAAGCTATGTTCACTGGAAACCTATCTGAAAAAGAGAACGGTGAGGTTGAGTTTCAGTGCATTGATGAAACTGCTCTCCAGGCCATTGTGGAGTATGCCTATACAGGGACTGTTTTTATTTCACAGGATACAGTTGAATCTCTCCTTCCAGCAGCAAACCTACTCCAGATAAAACTTGTCTTGAAAGAGTTTCTTGAAAACCAACTTGATCCTGGTAATTGTATTGGAATTTCTCGTTTTGCAGAGACATATGGTTGTCATGACCTTTATTTGGCAGCCACTAAATACATATGCCAGAATTTTGAAGCCGTTTGCCAGACTGAAGAGTTTTTTGAGCTTACACATGCGGATTTGGATGAAATTGTTTCCAATGACTGTTTGAATGTAGCTACTGAAGAGACCGTTTTTTATGCACTTGAGTCTTGGATCAAGTATGATGTACAAGAACGCCAGAAATACTTAGCACAGCTACTTAACAGTGTGCGATTACCATTGCTGAGTGTTAAGTTTCTCACTAGACTGTATGAAGCAAATCATCTCATTCGCGATGATCGCACTTGTAAACATCTTTTGAATGAAGCCCTAAAGTACCACTTTATGCCTGAACATAGACTCTCTCATCAGACAGTCTTGGTGACACGACCTCGTTGTGCTCCCAAAGTACTTTGTGCAGTAGGAGGAAAATCTGGGCTGTTTGCCTGTTTGGATAGGTAAATAGAAGGATTGATGTTAATAGATTTATACTTTATAAATGTGCTTTCTATACTTTTAAATAGTTTGATTTTCTTTTTTATTTTCTCTCTTCTTCCTAAACACTTTTCTGGTTGTTTTAATCACATTTTCATCCATTCTCTACACCATTCTCAATTATTAACACCCTCCTCCCACCCAGTACACAAACTTTATCTCTCCTTGTTACTCACTAACTTTTCTTCCATTTCATGTCTTTTTTTTTTCCTTTGTGAAACCATTTACATCTTTATTTGAGTCAGAACAGGTCAAAGGGATTTATTATTGCTAGCAATATCAGGAGACACTAAAGAGGAGAGCTAGGAATCTGTGATGAGGAAGACTAGGGACAAGAGTGGATTTGAATGAAAACAGTTAATTAGAACCACTAAACAAATAAGAAAAAAATCAGGTACTGATACAAGTCACGGACTTTGTGTGCAATTTATTTTCTTTATTGTAAACATTTTGTTGTAAAAAGTGGGTTTTTTTGTAATAACTTAGAGTATGAGTTGTCAGACTTTTTCTATAAAGAACCAAGTAAGAAATATTTTATATAATAAATATTTTAGACTTTGTGGCCATATGGTCCCTGTCATAGCTACTCAGCTCTGCCATTGTAGAGCAAGAGCAGCCAGAGACAATACGTAAATGAATGAGTATGGCTGGGTTCCAATAAAACTTTATTTATAAAAGTAACTGGTAGTTTGAATTTGGCCTATTACCATTTTTTGCCAATCTCTGATTTCGAGCATTATACAAATAACTTTTATATATTGAAAATATAGCTGGATGTTACCTTTGCTTTTCCCTTGAGTGAGATTGCTTCATGAAAACTTTTGCATTTGATATATTTCTTTGATGCTATGGATTTCTTCCTGGCCATTTCCCCAAATTTGGCAGATTGCTTTCCCTCCTCCAATGGTGGGAAACTATTGATATTTTATCAGTGTTAGCTGATATATTCCCTATCTTTTTTAAAAACCTCAGTGTACATCTTAATTATAGTCTAAAGCTAGTATGGTTGAAATTGTGCTACTGGTAAAACATTAGTTATGGTGAGTATGTGAATTGTTTACTCTTATTTTTAATGGCATTGGCATGAAGTAAATCTTACTAGTCAAAATGTCATGACAAATTCCAAATACGAATTTACATTGTAAAAATTCTTGAGCAGTTGCCTCTTGATCTCTCAAATATTAAAAATAACAAACATAAATTATCGAAGAGTCATAAGAACTTCATATTTTTAGACTCAGAAATTTTTCATCTTAGAAAAAAGATTTTAAATGTCATTTGCACAAAGTTGTTTATTGCAGTATTTGTTACAACTATGGAAAAATTTAATCAACCTGAATAATTAGTTTAATTCTACAAAAAATATTAAGCACCTGTGCATCAGACACACTATGCTAGATAATTGTTCTTTAATAAGTTCATAATTTAGTAAAAGACATTTAAATAGATAGTGTTATAGATAATTCAGTGATATAGATAATTCAATGGAAGTATTAAAGGAGAGGCATTTATCCCATTTGGGGGATTTAGGGAAGATATGGAAAAGTTAATGTCCAAGCTGAGTGTTGAAGGCTAAGCAAGAGCCAAGCAAAAAACGGTAGGAAGGTCACCGAAGTACAGAGACACATAGGATATGGATTTCTTCCTGGCCATTTCCAAAAATTTGGCAGATTGCTTTCCCTCTTCCAATGGTAGGAAACTATTGATATTGTATCAGTGTTAGCTGATATATTCCGTATCTTTTTAAAAAACCTCAGTGTACATCTTAATTGCAGGAAACATACCCTATACCGTTCGGTATTCCAAAGTATAAAATTTTTACCAGCAAATGGCAGGCCATGGTCAATAAGGGCCAAGACAAGAAGGTACTGTGTGCCGTGATGAAGAGAGGGCATTCACTATGCATGTTGAAAATCTATTTTAAGGAGGGTAGTGAAATGATCAAATTTGTATATTAGATCATTCTCGACTATATTATAGAGAAAGATCAAGGAGGCCACGATTAGCATCAGAGTGATTAGAAAAGAGGTTATTGTAAAAGTATAGGCAAAAGATTATGAGGTCTTGAATTAGGGCAGTAGTAGTAAAGATAGAGACTGGGGCATTAATTTAGAAAATTTTTTAGAGAGCATATTGATAGGATTTGTTTGGATAGAAAAGGATAATGAAAAGATGAGTGAGATTTTTTTGGTTAGATATTGGATGAATGGTTATATACGTAGGGAGAGGGAGAATATAGGAGGAGTCATTTTAAGGGGGGAAAATAATGTGTTTAGTTTGAGACATACTGAGTTTGAAATGTCTATTGAATATCCAAGGTGTCCTACAGTTAGCTGGATATGATTGCAAAACTCGAGGAAGAGATCCTTGAGTTTCTTGGAATTTTGGAAGTTAGCATATAGTATAATTTAGAGGGGTAAATTAAAACCATGACATGTCTATTACTCAGGAAATTGCAAGGAATTTAGGAGCTCTGTGCTAGGAACCTGGAGTGACAACCAAATATATTTTTTATTAAAGTATTATTGTGTGGCCCTATGTAGTACCTAATTTAACCTAATTGCCCAGTTTATTTATTTATTTATTTTTGACTTACATCTGTTTCCTGTGTCCTCTAGAACTCACATTCTATCATAAGAAAAATCTCTTTTATTCTCAACTTCATGATCTAATGAAATAAGGCTGATGCTTAAGGATACTGTTTTTGTTAAAACCCTTTCAAAACTGTTTTTCCCCCCATGTTTCATTAATCGCAGATCCTAAAGATTGGATAAATGTTTTCTTTGTTCCTCATAGCCATTTCCAAATATTTTCATCTCCCCTTCCTCAAAAACCTCAATTCATTTCAAGCATTGGCCATCAGGCTGTATCACTCGATATCCCTTCTGTTGCTATCATTTGCTGTTCCTTTAGTAACTTCATTCATTAAAGATTTTTATAGCTGGCTTACTGTATTTGTCATCGTTTTACATAAATAATTACTCTTATTGATTTCAACATCCACATAGTATAATTCACAATTATCCAACTCCTTTTCCTCTCTCCTTGATCTCACTTTTACCAATCTTTTCTGTCTTAGGCACCTGTTCTCATGATCATACCTTCAACGTTGTCATTACCAGTGACTTCAACACTGAAAATTTTAGTTTCAGAAATTCCACTCTCTGTTCACCACCTCCTTTCTTGCCAGCTTATTTATTTCAGTACACCCACTACAATCATTCTTTTTTGACGTGTGGGAATCTTCTCACGAGTCCCCCGACCCATCCCAAGGCTTCCCAACTACACTCATTCTTTGTTCTCTTCAAGACTTTTAATTTTTTGGCTCTCTAATAGTTAGGAAAACTTATTGTTCACTAACCACCGCATGTCCTCACCTTCACTCTTTACCCAGGAACTTAGATTCAGGAACATCAGTGTTATCATTACTTTGAATACACCCATGGTTCCCTTGCCCTTCTTTCCTTCCATCATACTCATCTAGTTAAATCCGATTCTCCTCTTAAGCCATGGCTGTACCTGAGCAATAGAATGTGGCAGAGAAACATGTACCCATCTTAACTGGTCTCACTTGGGGACCTCAGCTCCTAGCCACCCCTTTACTTTTCCCTCATTAATTTACTCTTTCACTTTGGAGTACTGTTTCATACCTTCTGCTCCATAAAAACATCCAAAGCCCCTTACCCTCACCTTCCAACTCTGAGCCGATGAGCTTTTCTCTTACTATATTGAGAAGATAAAAGCAATCCGAAGGGAACTTTCTCATCATCACCAAATCTACCAAGTTATTTCTAAGGTACTTTTCCATTTATGCATCAGTTTTCATTACCTCTCCTCTACATAGAGAGTTTGCTCTTGCAGTTATCCTGACATTCTCTCATGTTACCACCTTCTCCCACTGTACTGCATCATAGCCGTCAGCATGCAAACATGTTCTGGTTTAAGCTCCCAGATTAAATTAATCTATCCTGGACTCTGTGGTCTTTCTCTGCTCATCTTTATAGCTGCCTCCTCATATTTCTTTTACTCTTTGTAGTAAAATCCTTGGGAAAATTGTCTATACCTGCTGTTTTCACTTCCCATTCTCTCTTGAACCACTCCAGTCAAAATTTGTCCCCACCACCTCACTGAAACTGCTCTCCTTGTATCGTTCACATTGGAACAAATTCACATTTTTAGAACATTCAATTTAACAAAACTACATAAGCATTCAGTAGCTATTGAATGGGTATACTTTGATCATACTGGATAGAGAATATATATTTTTATGCTATCCATTATTGAGTTTGGGGACATTGGCTCCTTTTACCCAATCTTTCTTTGTAATGAAATATCTATACATGCAAGAGACCATGTATAATATGCATGCTGGGTAAAAGAATATATACTCAAGTACCTATCAACCAGCTTAAGAAATAGACTATTAATAATACCTTTAATAGTTATGTCTCTTCATGATGCCTACTCCCCTCCCTCAAAAGAAACCACTATTCTGAATTTTCTGTGTATTTTTCTTTGCTTTTTGTTGTAATTTTGCCACTTCTTGTATGTGTCCCCAATATATCATTAGGTTTTACACATTTTTATTCAAATGCAGTAATACTATATATATTCTTCAGAGATGTGTTTTCTCACTGAATAGTAAATTTATGAAATTCATTTGTGTGACTAAGGAAATACTTAATTTAGTTTCATTGGTGTGAGGAATAGCATATGGACATAATTCAATATTTTCTACAATGAACATGTTAATTATAAAAATTAATCGACATGTTATACACTGAAAAGTTCACAGATTCCAAGTGTACAGCTCAGTGAATTATCACAGAGTGAACATTACAAACCAGTTCAAGAAATAGGAAAGATAACCAACACCCAGAAACCACCCTTGAGTTTCTTCCCTGTCCTCCCCAAAGGTAACCACTATCCTCATTTATATTCCAGAGATTGCAAATTATTTTGAATTTGATATAAATTAAACTATACAGAATGTACTCTTTTGAAGTTGGCTTCTTTCCCTCAATATTACATGTGTAAGATTCATCTCTGTTGTATGTAGCTATAATTTATTCATTTTCATTGCCGTATTGAATTCTAATGCCACAATTTATCCATTTTATGGTTCACGAACATTTGGACTGTTTCCAGTTTTTAACTATTACAAATGCTTCTGTGAATATCCTTGTACATATACATATGTGTGCATTTCTCTTGGGTACATCTCTATGAATGGAATTGCTCAGTCATAAGATGGTTATACCAATCTTATTTATCCATTCTCCTTTTGACAAGTGATTGTTATACTGCTATGAACATTTGGGTATATGTGTCCTGTTGGAACACTGACTGTAATAGGCATTTGATAGAGTAGATACTCAGGAATGAAATTGCTGAGTCAGAATATGTGTATATCTTAAATTTTACCAGATAATGTGAAGTTGTTTTCGGAGTATTTTGTACCAGTGTATATGCTCCACATTCTTGTCAATAGTTGTTATTTCTGACGTTAAATTTTCCCAGTCTGGAAAGTGTCATGGTTTATTATGGTTTTAATTTGCATGTCCTAAGGAGATTAAACTTTTTTTTTGTTTCTGGGCCATTTTGATTTTTAAAATTTATTTTTTTCTGCTTATTCTTTAGTGTGGAGATGTACTTTCCTCAGAATGACTCATGGATTGGTTTGGCACCCCTAAACATTCCTCGCTATGAATTTGGAATATGCGTTTTAGACCAAAAAGTGTATGTTATAGGTGGTATTGAAACTGATGTGCGTCCTGATTTCACTGTCAGAAAACATGAAAATTCAGTAGAATGCTGGAATCCTGATACAAATACCTGGACTTCTCTTGAGAGAATGAATGAACAACGAAGTACTCTTGGAGTAGTAGTACTTGCAGGAGAACTTTATGCTTTAGGTGGTTATGATGGACAGTCTTATTTACAATCTGTAGAGAAGTATATTCCCAAAATAAGAAAATGGGAACCTGTGGCACCAATGACTACAACACGAAGTTGTTTTGCCGCAGCTGTGTTGGATGGAATGATATATGCCATTGGCGGATATGGGCCTGCCCACATGAACAGGTATTTAACTTAAGCTTGTAGATTTTTAAAGTGTTATTAACAATGATTTTTTATTTTTAAACAATTTGTGTATGTAAATGAACTTCCCGTTTTAATTTTTAAAGCAATATTGATTGACATTTGGGAAATTTAATCTTCATGAGTATAATTGTAATTGTTTTACAGGGATTTAATACAAACTTAAAGTTAGACAACTTTAGATTTTGAATGGTGTGTGTATGTGTGTGTGTGTGTGTGTGTGTGTGGAATGGCCTGTTGCTGCATTGCAAAATAGAATAAAAAAGTGAAAAATGTAATTCCTATAGACAATATTATAATGCATCATAAACTTAAAGCCTTATTTAAGTATTTTTTCTTGAGTCTTTTTCTATAATCAATATACATTATTTAAGTATCTGAGTTGTGTTAGAGTCTGAATTTCAGGTTTCTGTATTTTGTAGTAGTCTCTGAATTAAGGAGAAATATATATAAGAGAAAAAACATAAAGTGACTGCTTAAATGGAAAATTAATCATAATTCCTAACCTTTATTAAAAATTAATGTTCCAAAGATTTTATATCTAATAGTAATTAGAGTGGTATGTGTTTTATTAATTATGAGCATTTTAATGAAAGAATATATTGTGGTTTATTAACTGATTGAGAAAGTAATAGTACAACAGCATTTCATCCATAAATTTTTATTTCTGTGTAAGCTAAAGTAGTCTCCCTTTTTATTGTTCCCTTAGTCAAAGGAATGGTATTTGGGGCCCAGGCATAAATTTCTATTTTTGAAAAGTTGCTGGCAGAAATTTATAAGATGAAAGGTTAAGTATTTTAGTTTTGAGATAATGCTCTTGAAGTTTAAGTTTTGCCTGCAGTTTATCAACTCTTCTTGTCCAGTGATTTTGTCTAATGGTTTTTATCTTGGTGTCCTTTCAGAAACAGTTATAGTTTAGTCTGTATTCTAATCTACTCTGCAGTCTGGTCTCTATTCTGAACTCCAGAATTATGTCACTGACTCTCAAATGCTTTAGGCGTTTTTGAGAATTTAGGTTAAGACCAGAACAAGCTCAACAAGCATGTCTTTGTGCCCCTTCAGGGCAAGGTTTAGGCTTAAAGGCCTTCTGGGATAATATAGGGAAGCTTTTTTGGAAATTCTGATTTGATTTGGATTTCCATAATACAGCTTGGAATGTCAAGAGGTCCTTGGAATGCAATTTGACATAATCCCTGAATTCTCCTAAACCAGAGATTATTATGATTAGCTAGTTTGTGTTATGAAATCTGCAGTGTTTGCTTTGCAGTAAACCACCACGAATTCTCCTGTAAGAAAAGAAATTTTTCTTTCTTTTCTTTTCCTTAGCTGTGTAGAAGACTCTTGTTATCCTTATTCACATCTGTATTCAGTTTGTGACTTTCAAAGACCTGTCACATACATTCTCATTTGACTTTATTCTTTCATGAATCCTCTGAAGTTGTTCAGGATTACACAAATCTAATGTGTTAGGCTAGGATTTATTCACTTTAGTTATGCTGCATTAGTACTTGAACCCAGGTTTTCTGACTTCAAAAGTTCTATAACTTTAATATGCCTTGCTGCTTATACAATATAATGGAATAGCATATGGCTATTATTGCACCCAGTGCACAAATAAGTTTTTATTCCTGCAGTCTTTTCAGCAAAATCTAAATATTTGGGACAAACTACTCTGATTTTATATCTATTTGTTTGAACTTTTAAAAGTTCAGATGATGGGGTTTAGTTCTGCTTTACTAGGAGGAGTGAGACAAAGGATGTGAATTAATTTTTTCTTTTGTGAATGTTTGCAGTGTGGAGCGTTATGATCCAAGTAAGGACTCCTGGGAGATGGTTGCGTCTATGGCAGATAAAAGGATTCACTTTGGTGTGGGTGTCATGTTAGGCTTTATTTTTGTGGTGGGTGGACATAATGGTGTCTCACATTTGTCAAGCATTGAAAGATATGACCCTCATCAAAATCAGTGGACTGTGTGTAGACCAATGAAAGAACCCAGAACAGGTAATAATAACTTACTAATTTCTAACATATAGGAGAATATTTTGTGTAGTGGTGATCTTAGAACAGTAGTTCCTTGGAATATAAGAGTTATTACTTGTCCAGAAAAAAACTTTTTGTGGTAAACTTGGGAGACAATTAGATTAGACAAAACTATATCGACTTCTTTACTGTGGTTTTAATATGACAATACATATTATCATTTCTTAAATTTGGAGAACACATTTGAGAAATGCTGGTAATGAAATGTATCTTACCGATGCCATCTTTTTATACGTTACACACACACACAGAATCCTTGGATGTTCTGTTTTGTTTTTTATTGCACATCAGCTGCCTGTATATGTTCACTTTCAAATGTTCTCTCCTCAAGGAATATAATTGATCAAGGAAGGGTTAAATTACAGTGTTCCTAGAGAGAAACAAGTACATCAAGGAGAAAAAGTTATCTTTGAGCTCAAACTCAAATCATTATTTTAAGGGGAAGGTTTTAAATTACTAATGGAATCCCTTAGGAATATTGCTTGCATTTGTGATTAAAGAAACTCCCGAAACATTAAAGATGCAAAAGAAACAAAGGACAAAGTGTAATGAACTATTTTAGTTGTTTTTGTGGTATCATTGAGAGAAAAAGCCGTGAAATAATGAGAATGTGAAAAATTGGGGTAACCTTGTTCTTTTTAGACCTACTCGGATTTATGATTGTGTGGATGTTGGTACCCCCAACTCCAGCATTTTTTAATTGTCAACTGTACCAATGTAGCTCTTTCGCAAAAACAAAGTAGTGTAATATGAACTTTGAAAAGCTGGGGATACTTGTATTTCAAAACCTGATAAAAATGAATGATTTTTTGAAGAATATGTGTAAATATAAATTGAGAAGAAAGCATATAGAAAGATAGATACTTCATTCTTAATAGTATTTCCTGTGGTGGAGATGAGAGAGAGTAGAATTGGGGAGGAGAGGTAAAGGAAGATTTCAATTCTTTTATATTCAGGGATATTTTTTCAGTTAGCACATAGTGCTGTATTGCTTATCTAATTAATAATAAATTGTTGAAATATATTTTAAGAAAACATTAAAGTACAAACTTACTTATTTTTAGTGAGAAGTCTACTAAATAGTTAACATGTTTTTTCCCTATTTTTATCCACCTTTCTTAGGTGTTGGTGCTGCAGTAATTGATAACTACCTTTATGTAGTTGGTGGTCACTCAGGGTCTTCCTATCTGAATACTGTGCAGAAATATGACCCTATCTCAGATACATGGCTAGATTCAGCTGGCATGATATACTGTCGCTGCAATTTTGGATTAACTGCACTTTGACAAATGTGGACTCATGGAAAGAATGAGGTGATGAACCTTGTGCCACGTGAAAGGATGCCCAATTATCTGAAACCCAGAAGCTGCATTGCTTTCTTTTTAACTTGAAGTGGCATGAAGACTCAAAGTTTTGTTGGGTACTTTGAACTGACAGGTAGCTTTGGTTGCTCTTGATTACACAGTGAATCAATAATCAAAAAAAAAGAAAAAAAGAAAAAAAGAGATCTTGCCAATTGAATCGTGTACTTCTCCCCCCAATACTGGAATAAAGTAGTTTTATGTTCGTTCATGTACATGTGGAGAAAACCTTGCTGCTCTTTTAGCTCGCTCCCTCCTCTGTATGCACCATGATTTACTAGGGTAAATGATGCTTAGATGTTAGAGTGTATTGAATGACTGGACAGAGTGCAGATATTGTCTGTTGGATGTAAATTCATATGCTTCACATTTTAAATAAAGGGCTGCTTTTTTTTTTTTTTTGGTACTTTTAAAGGGGTATAAATTATATGCCATAGTGAGTCACCTGGATATTATTCCTGCTAAGTGGTTTTGGGGCTAGGGATGTAATACGTTTGCAAGACAAATACTTTTACTATCATGATATTTGAGGGCTTAATTAAAGAAGTCAGAGATTTGCTGTTTATTCCTTTTTTATATGGGCAGGTTAATTCTGGATGGATTTACTTTCCCATCTATGCTATGCTGAGCATGGATACAAAGAATTAATGCATATCACTTTAATATTATTTTAGTAGTATAGCAGGCTTTCCCGTGTCGATGTAAATATTTGACAAATGTGTAGTACCACCTTTAGTGCATATTGATTTTTTTCATATAATAATTTTAGTTTTTTAAGACCTTTGCTTTTTCAAAGTGTTCAGATATAAAAAATGGTGCTAACTGTAGGAGCTATAACAAGGCTATAATGATGTTCTTTTGGATGTTCAGTATGAGATATGCATGACGTGTTTTAATAGTATTTTTCATTTTTACTGGCTTGATTCATTTGTGCTTATTAAAAATATTAGTAATTATACCAATGTTAACATCCAAAAATTATCTAAATGCCTGTTATGTTTTTCATGGTTCCTGAATAGTGATTTAAAGAAAGATACATTTTTGATCTTCCTGTGCTAGATATTACATGTCCTTAAAACAAAAATATATTCATTAAATATAAAGCACTAGTCAGTTATGCATTACTTTGTACATTTCTTAGGTAACTGAATGTTTTAAAGTTACTGAGGAAAACTGGAGCTCATTTACTTGAGTAATACTTCTAAATTTGGTTCTACTTTGATTAAAGAAATAATCTTTTAAAGCAAAATTGTTTGCTATGGCCAAGTGACATATTTAAAAGAAGTGATTGGCTCATTTTGTTTTAGCATGTTTTAGTAAATGTCTGTTAGTCTTGAACATATTACCTTGCATTTTATTATGATATCGGTACTTTTATTTTTGGTACTGTAGTCATTTTTCTTTTCCATGATTTCTTTTTTTACCTGCCCACCATCTCTTTATAGTCTCTGCAAAACTAATGTATATTTGTTTTCTAAGAAAAATTCATACTGCATTCTTAAGTGCCATAATGTTCTAAACTGTTGTTAAGAAGCCATTTGTAATTATAAAGTGTAAGTTCATTTGTTAGTATATATGTTACTTCTTGAAAACTATAGCTGGGCAATTTGCGGTTTTCCTTGTTCTTCCATAAACTGCCAGTTGTAGATTTAAATGTATACTACAAAACTATGTAAAAATCTTCCTTAAGCATAAGGAGTATCATGCTTTATGAATATTTGCACATATTATAAAAATTTGCAAGTGATTTTTAGTCTCTTCTAATTAAGAACTCAGCAGGAGCTACTAATAAAATTGACAGGCTGAGTATTTTCTATGTTGCTTGTTTAACAATGATATATAGCAATAACTTTTTAATTGATTTGAATAAATCTATTGAATAGAAACAAGGTGCACTATTATGATTGGTCTAGACTTTAAAGAAAAGCAATTTAAAATAGATTTCATCAGATACTTAATTTTAAATCCCCAACTTGATTTTCTTTCTATTTATAGCAATGAAATTGTTAAGTACATCCTATTACGCTATTTTTTAATTCTTTCTCCCCAGAAAGGAATTTGAAAGATTAGAAAACTATTTTAATCGTAAACAGATCTATACTATACATTTTATTTTAACAGTGTTTTACTCAGTGTATCAGCCTCACTATCAAATTAGTATAAAATAGATAATCATTAGGTAAATTAGATCAAAGGGATATATTGGTCATTGTTTTGGGAAAATCTGAATTTTGCGTTGAAGAAGACTAAATGTGAAATATTTTGGGCAATAGTAGGAGCCATACCAGAGAACAACTTATGAAAACCTGTGAAAAGAAGAAAAATACCAAATTTAGAAATTTTTATTTCAGGTTTGCTAAGCATACTCTGCTGTTCATAACAGCAAGAGATATTAATGCAACCTGACAACTGATAACTTTACAATAGACCCGCCTTGTACAGATTTGTGAGAAGTTTCATCATGAATATTCTACTGACAAAAGCCACACATTTCTTATGTTAAAAAGGATAAAGATATTTGATTATAAATTCCCAGGGTTAAAAATAATAGAAATAATTTTATATAATCAGGCAAAGAGGAGACAGCTATTTAAGATTGCCTAAAAATATTTTTGAAAAAAGTTACAGTGAGAACTAGTAATTATCTAATTAGAATATAATTACCTTCTATAATTATTTTATGAAGGCTTAATCTACTAGAAATGTTTGGCTATTTAATAGTTGTTGAATATAGTAATAGAACTTAAGTGGTTTTTAATGTAGCCCAAAGGATATTTATGTAGTTCCATATGTTATTACTAATATTGTTTTAGATACAAATGAATATTAAATTATAGGAAGTGGTATCAAATGATAGGAAAGTGATATTCATTAGGTTTTGAAAAATTATTTTGATAACTTGACAAATATGGCAGGTCTACTATATGTATGAGATCCTGTGCCAGATGCTATAGTGGCTATAAATAAGATACAATCTTATCAAAGAATAAAATACAGTGAGGGAGACCTGTACCCAAGTCATGGTGGAGTGTGAATCTAATTCCTTATCTCCAACATCATAAGAAGTAATTAAAGACCCAGTTTATGTATAAACTTTTGTGTCCTTTAGTGTTCAGTGTTTTATTGACAATTATAAAGAATCTAAAGTTTATAGAATTCCAGATTTCTTGGAATTGGATAATATATTTTTTAGAAGAAAAACAAGATATAGAAACTTAAACTAGTATATTATCAAGGCTCTGGATGACATTGAAGGAAATATATGTACATATAATGGTGTGTTTTCAGTTTTGGTGTTGGATTTCTGGTATTGTCACCTAAGTGCTCATTTTCAGGAAAATCAAATTCTATAATAGATACTGCTTAAATTCAATAAACTTGTGATAACCTCTATAACCTCTGTAGTCTGAAAATTATGAAATTTTAAGTTGTCACATGTCAACATCCAGTTCTATCTTTTAACCTTTTTGTCCTTTGTAAACAGCACTTTAAATTAGATATGATTTAATTAAATACAGTTATTCTGTGGCTGGATATATATTGGATTTTGCTTACAGTATATTGATTCAGTGTTGAGACATATTTGAGAAGACTGAGGAGTACAATAGGTTTTTAATATAGGTTTACAAGTTTTCTTACTGGTGTGGATATGGAGTCAAATAAAAATCCAGTTTACATCTCTGCAGAGAGAAAAATTGTTATCCATATGTCTTTTATATTTCACATATTTAACTACAGACAATTTATTGTTAATTTTGTCAAGTTATCATGTGTAAGTCCCATTTATTTTAAAATACCAAGCAAAAAGTTCCAAGCTTGCCTTAAAATACAAGTGAAATTAAAGAACTGGATGATAATGCCTATATTTTTGCCTTATGAATTGTGCTGTATCATAAACCAGAGATGGTTTTGATTTTAACAGGATTCTGAAATTTTGTAAATGTAGAGTACTAATATATGTACTCTCTTGCAAAGAATGTGATCTAGCTGTGGGTTATGTTAATGTTTAATTATTTTTATGCATTTTACCTCTAAATATGTATCTTTTTAGTATCGGGATTTCATTTTATTTTTGTTTACATGGTAAAATGGCTATTAACTCGTTGAAGGTTGTATTCTTTTGTCTTTAAAAGTTATTTGTATGCACTATTGTGGTAATGCTCTGTAATGACTATGGTTAAATTTCATTTAATGTGAAATGTTTAGAATAAATTTGAAAAACATAACTTTTTGTGTGTCAGTCGTTGTGAACCGACCCAAGCTGACTTCATTATGCTCAGCTCTGAGGTTCTTGGTAGTGGCCACAAAAGGTGAGGTGGGTGTGGTATATAGCCTCATGCTCACTTACTAAAGAAATATTCATTAGCAAAGTGGTCATGGAAGAGTTCAGTAGGTAAGTTCAATGCTTTCTTCCTTTTAGAGTCTCTACCCAACCTTATAAGAAAGATTTACTTGAGACAGACAAGGCAGCATTCCAGAGGGTGGTTACCTTTAAGGCCAGCATCAGGTAACCAGGAGTCCTCCTAAAGAAGGGCCTTGTGCATTTCTCATTTTGGTTTGTGGCATAGATTTTAAGAATTGGAATTGGTGGGTCAAGGGATAGGTGATATATAATTTTGCTAGGTCTTGCCCGTTTTAGTCATTTCAGGCTGCTGTAACAAAATACCGCAGACTGGATGGCTTCTAAACAATAGAAATTTATTTCTCAAAGTTCTGGAGGCTGGAAGTCCAAGACCAGAGGGCCAGATGGTCAGGTTCTGATGATACCCTCCTCAGGGTTATAGACTGCTTTTTCATTGTATCCTCAGGTGGCAAAGAGTAGAGAGGGGAGGAAAGCTCCCATGTTTCTTACAAAGATACAAATTATTTTGAAAAACAATTTTTTATGTCAGTTGTTGAACTGACCCAAGCTAACTTCTTTACGCTCAACTCTTAGGTTCTTGGCCAAAAGCTCCACCTAACACCATCACAAGGAAGTGGGTAGGGTTTCAATATATGAATGTTGAGGAGACACGTTCAGTCTAATAACATTGTCCAATTCTCCCAAAAGGTGTTTCCATCAACCAAGGCAAGAATACCTTGTAGGCTGTTTTTATTAGTCTACCTACCGAGGGGCTTGATGAAAGATTAACATTTGGCCTCAGGTTTTGTTTTGTTTTGTTTTGGGTTAAATTATGTCTGATATTATAAAGAAAAGTTTCTAATTTTTAATGTACTCAGAAAGCTGCTTTAAATCATTTATATGAGTAAGGTAGGATCTAAATAAGGATGACCAGTCGGTCACTTTTATCATGACCAGGAAGAAAGTCTAAGAAAGGATATTCTTGTGTGTGCCCTGAGGAGAGTTAATAAGTAACAGTGGTACTAGAATCAGAGTAGGTGGTTGCCATGGAATAGAAGGCTTTCTGTGTCAAAAAGTTTTATTAGAGCCAGATTTTAAAAGATTTCGAATAAATGATTTTGGACAATATCTGGTAGATAATTGATTTTGAGCAGGAACAAAATGGGATATTTCATTATTATTTACTATCTAGGGAAATTTAAGCTATTCACTTTTCAACATTTTAACTTGTGTTGTTTTTGCATTTCAAACTAATTCATGAATTTAACATTTTTTTACTGTTTTAATGTCATAATTTGTTCTATGACCTTAATTGCCACAGAAATGCCAGCAATGATTTTCAGCCAACAAACTTGAAATATTCACACAGCATTTAGTTCATTTTCTACAGCAGCACTACTTGCCTATTAATTTCATTTCTTAATAAAATATTGAAAAAAACAATGGTAATGAATACTTTCATGGTGCTTACTGTGTGCCACACACCAAGTGCTATACATAATAATTCATTTAATCCTAACCACAGTCTTGTGAGATATATTCTATTATATCCACTTTACAGTTAGAAACTGGGGAATAGAGAGGGTAAGTAATAGGGCCAAAGCCACACAATCAGTGACAGTCTGGATTTGAACTCAGGCAATCTGACTTTAGAATCCAGATATGTAACTGTCATACTCTTGTCTCTTCTTGACAGCATAAAATTCAGTAGTCTAGGACTGATGATAATAGAGATAATCCAGTGGTGTTGATCACATATCACGATTCACCTCAAATGTCTGCAATTCTTATTTTTTCCAGAATCAAAAATGTCAATCCTGAATCAGGTCTTCTGGCATTTCCATAAGCTCTCTAGGGACAGGAATTCATAACCCTTTTCAAAAGAAAAAGCATACAGTAGTCCAGAAACCATGAGGGTTGGGGAAGCAGGTGAAGAAACGCCAGTCAACTTATAAATATTATTTGAATATTTGGGGTGGTAAAGAGCATAACTAACATCATTAAAGATGTTACCACAGAATGTTATATCCAATCTATGAATGCGTATAGTGTCATAGAACAGAAGGAAAATTGGTCTTGCCCCACCTAAATTATAAAGCATATTAATATTTTAAAGGCCAGAAAGTTCTCTCTGCAGTTCCTTTGCATTCCATACTGGGGCACTTCTGCCACCTACTGTTATTGTAGAAGACTGCAAAAGTTGGGAATCCACAGTACTATACCTAAAGCAAATCTGGTTGATAACTCATTCGCCAAATATTTAAAGAGCACCCATCCTAACAGCCCTCTCGGTTTCCTCTCAAATCTCTTCCCTCTTACAAAAACAGAAAACATTTGAGATTATTAATCTTTGTGAATCACTTTAGCTACAATAAATTTATTTTTAAATTTGATGATGTTCAAAATTTTTTTTATCTTTAGTTTTAGGATTTTTAGCTTTCTAATGGAAATTAAAGGTGGTTAGGCTTTGTGGGTACAAGTAGAGGCAATAGGCTCTTACAATTACCCTTGGAATCACAAGCCCGATGTTCTTTCCTCCACAAACCTCCAGGAATGCTAGGCAGCAACTGTGAAAGGCCTGTTTTAAAGACCTCACAGCAGTTGTCTGCTGAGCTGCCCCTCTGTACTCCCAAAGCCCCAGGTGCTTACCAGGCCATAGTACTTCCCTTTGTAAAGTCATCATTGATTGATGCACCTTTTCTCTTTTCAAGACGTTTATTCAACAAGCAAATAGTAGGTTGTATTAAGGGAATGCTGCAGAGAAAGTATGTCTTGATATTAATGTTCTGGCTTATAGCCCCCACATCAAACTTAGCTTGCTTAGGTAAAGATTTCCTTAGCTAGCCATTTCCTCCAACCCTTAACCTGGTTGCTCTTGACCTAAGCACAGGTCAGCTTTCCTGCCATCTTCTCTCTTCCTGTCCTTTCCTTCTGTCCTAAATTCCCATATGTTGAATGTGTAGAGCTATTTGTGTCTACTTCCATCCTCTTCGCAAACTCCCTTTTTCCTACTTTACCTTAGAGCAAGATAATTATGCTCAGTGTGTTTTAATATTTGTTAATATTTGACATTAATAGGGAAACAATCTATTTTTGTATCCTTTTGGGGAAAATTTATACCACAGGATATTATTGCTTCCCAACTCTAGCACCTGGAATACTAATTTTGAAATGTAGGTAGAGGAATGTAAAAGAATAACATTATTCATAAAATAATGAGTTCTGGAAGGTTTGAGATGAAAGTTTCTGAAAGCAAGTGTCCAGGTATAAAGAAATGTCTGAACGGATGACCACAGCAGTTTTCTTCAGAGGTTCACTTGCCTCTTCTTTTTCTCATGCTATTTATTTCTATCACCGCTATGCCAGCCCTCTAGGAGTATACACTTCTTTCTTCAAAGCCCTAACTCCTTGATTCTTGGTTCTCTTCAGTACTAGGGAGCCGTGCTGGGTTTTTACCAGTACTAACTTGATTATCACTAGGTGATAAATCACAATCATTTTCTTCTTTACACTTTTTTGGTACTTATTGAATTTTACTGATTTATGTTATTTTTATAATCCTATTTAAAAATGAGACTATAAAATTCAAAAGGAAAACAAGGAAAATGAAGGAACAAACATTTCTACTTCTACCATGGCCAACTTGTCATTTGCTCCCCAAGCTCCTGTTGCATTCCACATTCTCTTTGAAGCCCCAGCCAGAGTAGCTTACTTTTTCATTTTCAAGAGATATTCCTTTTGGTACCGTGCAAAAGATCTCACTGAGAAAACAATGGACTATAGAACTGATTGCTCATTGAGGGTAAATAATCTAATATACATCCTCAGGTAGATATCAACATATAAAAAAACTATAGACTGCCCACTAACTTCTTCAATTTCCCAGAGATAAAGTGAAATGTTGTTTTCCCTGGGATCAAATTAAAGTTAAAGGCTGTCCAGGTGACCAAACAATAAACGCTGGGCTACCTGGGAGGGTTAGAACCCCTATTAGTAAGGCATCAGGTCATTAAGATGAACTTCACAAGCTGTGATTTTAGATTTTAATGCAGAATAATTTGATGCTGATTTTAAATGTTAGAACAGCAACAGGATGATAAGAATATAAATGTTTGCTTTGGCTGTAGTTTAGTGGTACTTAACTGCAGTCATTTTTACATAAGCTGCTCTGCTTACAGTGCATTACAATAATTCTCAAATAATTATTTTCAAATAATTGTAATTAAACATTTAATTATAAAACTAAACTAGATATGCTCAACACGTAGTTTTTTGTGTCATAGTAGTTATCTGCTTATATAGCCTAGTTGTTTGCTCAAACTCTAGGAATGATATTGAATATGGAATTCACCCTAGTAAGCATGCAAAGCACACCCATAGTCAATTACCTCTAGGTCTCTCTTCCTCTCTGATTGGATCAGATCCACTGAGAAGTCCACAGATATTAAATTAACTCTAATAGTTAACAATGAAAAGTCACTTTGAAAGATAAATCTAAGATTATTTGCTAAATTGGGAGGGAAAAGCTTTCTTTTGCTCAAGCAAGATAAGTTGGAAATTCCTCCTTAAATTTGCTGTATTCTTTATCCCCCTCTGAAGCTAGGGTTTTAAAATCATTTTTGCTCTCCCTATCAGTATAGTCATGGTTTGTGGCATTTTGATTAAAAATATGAATTCTCTCATATCTTTTGTCCTCCTCACCCCAATTTCTCTAAGTATTGAAGGCAATGAATTTTCCATATCCTTTCACATTCTGTATTCTTTTTCTAATCACTAGTTTGTCAGCAGGGAATAATTTCTTCTACCAACCAATCAACTACCCACCCACCCACCATGACAATATACCACCTACTATCCTTAAACCCCCAATCATTTGGGGTCCAG